AAGTTCATCAAGTGTAAGTATAAACCGGATAAAATTACAGTTGATAATACAAATCTTCAAACTTGATACAAAAGTGTTAAAAAAAGAAACCCAACCTTGACGTATGGAGACCATCTTTCCATTGTGAGCGGTGATAGTGACCTGCGGGTGAACATCCACCAAGGTGAACAACTCATCCTTTCCAACGTTTTTGTTTTTGGCTTGCAATATGGCATCCCTTCCAACTCCACTCAAACACTTCCCACTCTTGTCCCTCAGAGCCAATCCGGAAAACTGACCAGATCTGATTTCCAGACCAAAGGAGGTGTTCTCACCGTCGGCGTCAGGTTTGTTGGTCAAACTTCCATCCTTGCAGAGGTACCTATCATCAAATGACCTCACCCGATACCTACCCTCGTGAAACTCCAAAGTGATCAAAGATTTTGGGCCCCAGGGTATGACGGAAGCCACGCGAAGAGATTCAGAACCAGGCTCCCCTTCCAAACTTACAAACTTTTGACGGTTGAGATTTCTCAAGTTCACCTGGGGGTGGATGGCCAGATGGACCGTCCACCATTCCGACCTACCTGGTTGCTTTTCGTAACATCTCACCTGGATTAATTTGATGTTTGTTTTTTTTCTGTTACATTTAATTCGCAATTGTTATTATTTTTATTTTAATATTTTATACGATATTTAGTGTTTAAAAATTTATTTCATTATTTTGATTTTATATATGAAATGTTTTTGTTTCGAAAATAAGCTCAAACGTTAAATTTAAACTTAATAATCGAAAGTTTTCGTTATCTTCTTTGCGAGTGTCGCACTAAAAAAAATAAGGCGGTTTATTTAGAGGCGCCAGTTTTAGCAATAATAATTAGAATGAAGTTACGTCAGACAGTGGCACAAATATTTGTTAGAAATTGTGAAATACGGATTTGAATGAGTCACTAAATTATCGGTGAATAAGGGTAATTTGGACCATTAATATTTCTATAATCAAATGTACACATTAGGATATAAAAAGTTTAAAAAATATTAATTGTCGCAAAATTGACAAAGTTCGATTAAAAACATTTTGAAAAATTATGGTGTGAAACTTGGCGGTATAATAAATAAATATAATATAATACGCCACACGAACATTACACGCGTGTTTATTCTGATCGTTCACACACACACACACACACACACGCACACACACACACGCATTATTCACACACACACACACATACACAAACATCAGACTACTATAAAAAAAAGACTCACTTCGACATCGGTGCCTCCAAGAAAGTATCCAGTACTTTTGTTCTTGAAAGCCCACTGGCCGGACCCATCTGGGTGATACTGAATTGAAAACTTCTCAGCATCCGCAGTCTCCTCGCTCTCACACGTGGCAGTCCCTCTCTTGTCCCCACTCATGTACCTGCCCAGATGGCTCCTGATGTACACCGTATCGTCTTCAACAGGGTCGTGTTCTATTGACCAGATCTGCTTTTTACGCAGACTCACTCCTGAGACATTGATCTTAAAGCCGAAAGTTTCAGCGGTCAGATATTTGCATGAATTGTTGACCAGTCCAACCTTCCATTGAAGGTAATGTTGATGCGGGTTAGGGTGAACTGAGGTTCCGTTAGTTTCGCCTTCCCCGTTGTTGTTTTTGAATCCGTTCATGTTCATTGATTGATTGTCAAATCAGCGTCACAAATTTTTGTGTTTTTAATATTTTTTTATGTATTTGAAAATAAATTAAGTTTGTTTGGAAGAGTTTGCGAGCGTTCAACAAAATAAAAATGTTCGAATGTTGCAACAAAACACTTCAAACCTCAGGTATCTAATCAAATGCAAACCAGTAAAATAGTAAAATACTAATACTGAAAATAAAAATAATTAATAATACTATCGTCAGAAAAATGAAACAAATAAAAATAACTAAATTAATTTTAAAATTAACAACAAGAACATAAATAAATAAATGAAAAGACAAACTCTACAGCTCTACAAACGCATAAATTTGTATGAACAAAAGACAGAAGCTTGCCGACCCCAACGACTACTCGGAAAGAAAACGTCTGCTCGTAATCGTACGACCAACAGTTCGTGCCTGCATGCATACACGCATATATAAGCGTATTGAAGATGTACTACAGATGTATGCTTGCTCTCAATATGAAAAAAGGTATTTGTATGTATGTATGTATGTATGTATGTATGTATGTATGTATGTATGTATGTATGTATGTATGTATGTATGTATGTATGTATGTATGTATGTATGTATGTATGTATGTATGTATGTATGTATGTATGTATGTATGTATATTTTTATGTGTGTATAGTGTACATATATATATATGTGTGTATGTTGGTAATAGACCATAATTTTTACAATATTCTATAATTATAATATTTATAGAATATTGTAAATATGTGTGTGTGTGTATACAAACATACGTACGTATGTTTGTATACACACACACACACACATTTATAGAATATTGTAAATATGTGTGTGTGTGTATACAAACATACGTACGTATGTTTTATGTGTGTATACAAACATACGTACGTATGTTTGTATACACACACACATATATTGTATGTATATTGTATATATGTTTAGATAAATTATTGCTTATGCTATATATAAAATTTGTATCTAAAAATGAAAGATGTGTGTATATAAACACATACACACACACATGTATATATATATATATATATACCACGGATATATATATATATATATATATATATGTATGTTTGTGTGTGTGTGTGGTGTGTGTGTGTGTATGCAGGTTAGGTATATTAGTGTTAGGATGTATTACATCAGAGGTGGGCAAACTACGGTCCGCGAAGACATTTTATGCGGCCCGCGAGGCCTTGTTCGATCAAAAAAAGATCTCATTCGGCCATAAAAAAAAGTCTAAAAAATTTCTCATTTAAATACATATGCGGCCCTTCAAAAGTCAAATAATTCTCAATGCAGCCCTTCAAAAATCGAATAGTTCTCAATGCGGCCCTCACAGCAAAAATTCGCCCACCCCTGTATAACATAATTTGTGCCTGTATTTTTTTCGTGATTTGATATAAGAAAATATATTTAGTAGATTCGACATTAGACAAAAAACACTGTGTATTGTTAATGATAAATATAACATAAATAAGTATTAAATCTTATTGAATTGAATGCATTAACCTTAACGTAATGTTGTATGCGGTATTGCAAAGCACTTTACGTAATGCAGTGTCTTGAGATTGTATTGTATCTTTGTATCTAATGCAATGTCTTAAGATTGTATTGTATCTTTGTATCTAATGCAATGTCTTAAGATTGTATTGTATCTTTGTATCTAATGCAATGTCTTAAGATTGTATTGTATCTTGTAAACTTAATAATACCGGGTATCATGTATTAATACCGCGTAATATCCAACGATATACCAATTTTCCATCACAAATCTGTTAGCACTTCCTTTTATCGCTTAGTCATAATGTTATTTTATCTAGGGATTGTGATAACATAGACAATGTAAATAAAATTATTTATGGCGTTTGTTGGTAGTTAACATAGATATAGAATATAATATATTATAGTTCTGCATTACTTCGGCCCCCAGTCGCACATCATATTATCGCCCGCTAAATGTTTTTTAAGATGTTATATATTTCTTGATTTCCCATATATGTATATATATATATATACTCTATATAAATGGTAGTTAATAAAATTTTTTAATATTAAAATATGTTAAATGTCTATGTTTATATCTGAAGTTTTTGGTATCTATGCTTTTATCTGAGGTTTCAGACTTTTCAAAATTGTTGCGAAACTAAATATTTTAAGCGTTGTAATTTGTCTCCAGTAAGACGACGACGACGATGATGATGATGATGATGATGATAAGGAGACAATAGTGGAAGAGACAGTGATGGTGATGTTGGATCTTTATAGATGATGGCAGCAGTGTCACAATCATTTATTTAAAATACAAAACATCTCACTCACTCACTCCCTCACTCACACACTCACTCACTCCCTCACTCACACACTCACTCATTCACACACTCACTCACTCAGTCACTCACTCACTCATTCACTCACTCATTCACTCATTTCATTCACTCAGTCATTCACTCAACTCATGTTTCAAATCAACCCTCTTTCAACAACCTTTCCTCTCTCAGGACTATTAATATATAAGATGGTTAATGTTATCTCTTTTAAATTAACTACACACTCCTATAGCTATATGAGAAGTTTACAATGAAAATGATCATAAAATTAAACTTTAAAACTTTTGATTGTGCTACATTTAAACGATTCGACTGAAAACTGGATTCGAATGTAAAGGCAGCCTGTCACATTCAATTCGTGTAATGTGTTGATTCACAAAAATATCTATCTACGTGCAGTGTGTGTTATAGTTGTTAATACTTATGAGAAATACTAAAAAAAAGTTTTTTAAAAGATCTGGTTAACCTATTTCTTATCTAAATCATTAACCGCCATACAGATAAATTTAACAGGTTTTTTTTTTTTATAAATTATTCATATATACAATTTCCCATTAATCTTGGTTGCATTTTGTGCTTTGAAACCAATACTTTAAATTCTTCAATGATAATTTTTTGTCTTTAAAAATCTGATACAGAATCTTTTTTTTATTTCTTGAAAGTATAGATCTTGAATTATTATGGGTGTTGGGGTGTATGAAATGAATGAGAATGTATGGGTGAGTAGGGATGAAATCGGTTGGGTGGGTGGAATAGAATAGGAATAGAAAGAAAATTTTAAAACAAATTCGTTTGGCCGATTTGATAATGTAGATAAATTTGACAGCATTCTTGGTTCCCTGGTGTATTCAGATTAGAGAACTAACGGCGGATCGCACTGGAGTAATTTATTGGATTGTGATGTGATGTAAGGTAATGTGATGTTATTGATGTGATGTGACGTAAAAGATTAATTCGTCCCGTCTGTGTTACGTTAGATTTTTATTTTAAGCATGCAATGCAACTATCCCAATAAAAAAAAGTAGCCATAACATAACGGAAAACAATGGGAAAAGATTTTTAATTACAAAACTATTTACATAATTCATCAATCCATCCATCCAATTTTCCCCATAGTCTAGGCCGTTAACATTATTTTTTTTTTCCAGTAACCCTGTCTTGCCATGGCTTAAGTTTCCTTTATCCCATTCTTCAATATCATCTAGCCATCTTTTTGTGAGTCTTCCTATGAAGTAGTGATACAAATTTCTGTTCTTTTGATAATCTGACCTATTTTAATAATCTCAATATCAGAATTTGTTGAACAGTACTATAATCACTTCTGAATCCTGCTTGTTGTTCACTCGAGTCTTTCTGCTAGTCCTTCATTCGTGTTCTCGTCTGTACATTACTTATAGCTACAAATTTATTGTTTTAATGCTTCTACACCCGGGCCCTTGGATATCGGCAATGTAGTTATAGAGAATAGTGAAAAAATGAAACATGTTGAAACAATGAAATCAATACAAAGTTTAAAATTTTATTTAATTTTTTAGTTGTCGTTATAATTGTTATGTTATTATATTTGAATTGAAGGTTTATTACTATGATTTTCTAATTGTTAGGCGCTGTAAAATTTCGCTTTAAAATATTCAAAGTTGGGGTGTTTAGTGAGAAAGGTCAATGATAATGGCCTAATTGCTTTGTGTTGTTTGGATCGAGTTTTTCCTGAAAATGAATTTTGTTTTATTTCACGATCATTTCATTTAGTGTTCCGTCTGTTTATTTATTTATTTATTTCAGTTTTTTTAGTAATCATCGAGTGCTGGGTGTCTCTACTATACGGCGGTCTTTTATTCTAAGTCGGAAAATCAAATGAATAAAAAAGGAATTCTGGTTGGTTGAATTAAAAATTAAAATTAATTTTTGATTGAAAGTTAATTATTTTAATTCAATAAATTTTAATAATTATTTTATTATTGTTGTTAATGTATGATAGGGGATTAAGGGACAAACTGTAACTCATGATTCCTGAACATACCACACTAATATTCATATTGTAAGTAAGTAATAGTTAAGAAGTCAGTCATATGATTGTCTTGTTACAAAAATTCTATAGGAAGATAAGTAGAGGTAGAGTATAGAATTAAAGATGTAGACCTGAAGAGAGAGGTCAAAATTACCTGACAATTTTACAATTTATTTAAAAAATGATTTAAATTTAAAATGAAGTTTAATGTAGCATAGTTTTTTTAATAAACTTTAATAATTAAATTTATTCTAGCCAAAGATTTTTTCAGCCAAGGATTCCAATGGGAGTGTTAAATAATAAAACTCAAATAACTCGCAAAGTAATTAATAAACTAGGACCTGTGAAATTCTCAGTTGTCAAATGACCAGCTGTGGCTTGTAAAAACCACCCTGCTGAGTCCAACGATTCAGTCCAACTAAGACTAACTCAAAGGAATCTGAAACCGTATTGACAATTTGATAAAACTTTGTTTTTGAGTTAAAATTTGGTTAATCTTCTATGCCTGATTTTCACAAAAACTTTTGAGAATGCTGATAGTGGAGAAATGGGCCTGAAGTTTGAGATTCCATTATTATTATTCCCTTCCTTCTTTCTAATTGGAACTACCTTGGATTTTTTAAAACACAGAGGAAATATTCCTGTTTCGATACGGAGATTAAAAAGATGGACATGTATAGCAGCTTTGACTCAATAGTAAAAATCATGAGCTTGACTGATACACCATCCCAGCCACTCGAAAATTTTTGTTTTATGCATTTGGCGTTTGGCTTGTCTGTAATAAATTATCTTATAGTGTTGTAATATTATGATTTATTTTTTTTACTAAACTAAAGTGAAATAATTTTATTTTATACTCCAAAGGACTTTTAAATCAATAAAGATGTCGGGATTTGATGATTATGAGGCTTGTGAGTTTAAAAGAATTTTTTTTATGCCTTTGAAAATTTTTAAAAATGTGGATTTTAAGAAATTTGTTTGATATCTATGTCTAATATTTTATTTAGTGTCATTGTTAATAATTGTTAAAGGCTGATAAATGTGATAATAATGATTTTAAACTCTATTTTATTGGAAAAATAATCTATCATTATTCTATATGTAATTCTATTTGTCACTAATTTGCAAGCAAATTTTTAAAATACGCAAAGCACACATACATGCAGCCATGTAATATTTTTTGTTCAAAGTAGAAAACTATCAACAAATATTCATTTTTTCAAGTGTCTCCCAATTAAATTTCTCCATTCATTCATTCATTCATCAGTGAATTAATTCATTCACCCAACATCCATCCATCCATCTAGCTGAAAACTATGTAAAGCTGGAGCAGCAGAGTCCCACAGGGAACATCGGTTTCTCATTCTCTCGAGCCAGCAGTGTTGGGTCGGTCAATGCCATCAGCTGTTCATCGGCTTCCTCCACTCATAACACTGGTTAGTTGTTTGGTCGTAAAGCTTGCAAACTTTGCGTACATTTACAAACCAAATCACACACTTACCTAAATTATTCACACCACACACACACACACACACATTCACAAACCACATTCTACCTACTTAGACACACACACACACTCAACAAGCATGTCAAACTAACCAGATGACGAGGACAGTGACGTAGCCATGACTCAGTCGAACCATTTCATGGAAAGACGCAGGGAGGCCCACACCCAAGCCGAGCAGAAGAGAAGGGATGCAATTAAGGTACGCATGCTAATTACGATGGGGGTGATGGTGGAGGTGATTGAGATTGTGATGGTGATAACCGTTCCTAGAAGATATAAAACAAAATACAGTCACACTCAGTCACACTTTTTCATTTTTCCAATTTGTTCTTACCACTGACAAAATTTAACAATGGTTGTATGTCGTGTTGTTGTTGTTGCATATGCAGAGAGGCTATGAGGAGTTGCAGTCCGTAGTGCCAACTTGTTTGGAGGCACCGTCGCAGAAGTTGAGCAAGGCAAGCATACTGCAGAAAAGTTGGTTGTCGTTGTTGTTGGTGTTGTTGCTTGGTCGTGTTGTTTGGTTGCTGTGTTTGGTTGTTGTTGTGCTACTTAATTGTCGTGCCTTGTTATACTAATACTCACCAGTTGTAATCTTTGAAATAGTTGTAATGATAACACATCAGAGCAGTACCACAGATGCCTATCCATCTTAACCCCTTAAACGTTATATTGCAGTGAGAACAACGTCTCCTGATTATTTAATTTTAATTTTTCGCACCCCCCTCCCTCCTCCCAATCCAGCCATAGACTACATCCAGTTTTTGATGCAACAGAAGAAGAAACAGGAAGAGGATCATGAAAACCTCAAAAAAGAGGTCACTGCACTTAAAATTATGAAAAGGTAGGTCGACTTTGTGTGTGTGTGTGTGTTGTGTAGTTGTTTATTTCACGCAAGCAAGTGCAGTGTGTGCGCGCGCGCGCGCGCGCGTGTGTGTGTTTCCCAGAATCAAGTGCAATCAGTATAAAAATAACCCTTAACAAAAAATATTAGTACTAATATTTTGTTACTAATGCCACTAGCAATCTTAATAACACCTATTGCTATTAATTCTAATACTAATAAAAACACTCCTGACATGAATACTAGCCAGTATGAGCAGATGGTAAAGAGCTGCCAGAACTCCTATCAACATGGGGCAGATCAAGTTACCAACGAGGAGAAGTTTTTTGTTGTTCGTACTCTTTCTCTGTTGCTCTTTGGTGTTGTTTTTGTGTTGATTTTTTGGGTTTTTGTACTGCTTTTTTGTTTTGTGTTGTTTTGTGGTTTTTATTGTTTTTTCTATTGTTGTTTTGTATCGTTTTTGTTATTTTTTGGTCTAGTTTTGCAATTTTTTATCATTACCTTCATTGTTACTGCTGTTACTGCTGATGTCTTTATTGTTATTATTTTTATTGCTATTTATAGTTTCAGCAGCTGATGGACGCGTTGTTTCAATCGTTTGATGCATCCGTCTCAGTCAATGGATTTGAAGAACTCTCCAACTGTGTTTTTACCTGGCTCGAAGATCAGTGCAAACCTAATGTCTGTCTTGTTTGTTTGTTTATTTGTCTGTTTATTTGTTTGTTTGTGTGTCTTGTTTGTTTTTTCGTTTTTTTTGTCTGTCTGTCTAATTTGTCTGTTTGTTTGTTTGTTTAGTTGCTTGTTTGTTTGTCTATCTTTCTTGCATTACTTCATTCGTTCATTCACCCATCCATTCATTCATTCACCCACACATAACATCCCAACAAACCACCCAAATCAATCTCTCAACCACTCCCGCAGACTTTGAAGGAGCTGACTGAAGGAATCCTGAGGAATTCGAATTACAGCAACAACATTAACAACAACGGTTTTAAGTTTAACAACGTAAATAACAATGGTGTTAATAATCTTAATTAATTAATTATATAATTAATTAATTAAATCATATATTATTTGGATTGGTTTTACATTATTTAAATGTTATAATAATAATAATAGTAAATGGTTTGGCTGTTGTATATTTTGTATCATATTATTTGTTATTGTTATTCTTGATTTGTTTTTATTGCATTAGCCTTGATGAACACACCATACACATACACAAACAAACAAACACACATACATACACACACACATATATATATATATACACACACACACAAATATATATATATATATATATAATCACAATGGTACAATGGTTAAAATGTTATTTTGCTGGTATAAATTATTATATTCTTTTTTCAATATTTATCTTCTCATCTTAATGTTATCATCACATTATTATTGTTATTTTTATGTTATTATTATTATTATCGTCATTGTATTTTATTTATGGCTGGTTCATTTTGGAAATAAATAACCTAGATGAATAATTTTATTCTAAATTATCTGCAAATTTTGATTAATACGTATAATAAAATTTTAGTTATATAAATTGAAGTAATTATATTATTTTGGATGTAATGATTTAGTCAGCAATTTCGTCATTGGCTAACATTAATGTGTTCTTTCTTTTGATCATTCACTCATTCATTTATTAATTCATTTTTCACTCATTCATTCATTTTTTACCCATTTATAGGTTGATCATTGCAGCTAGCAATCATCATCTTCTATCATCATATAAATCATTTCTGTACTTTTTTCTCAAAAATATGTACATTTTTCAAAAAAATCGTTTTAAAGGAATATGCTGAACTGAAATATATAATTTTTGGTTAATGAACCAAACAAATTCTCTATTAATGTTGTACGATGTTGTTGCAATAATTTACTGTAATTCTTCATGTAATAAGTAACGCGTTAATATAAAATACGGTGTACATTTATATGTGCAAGTGTCATGAAACCTTTGTCTTAACTTTATTTTAGCCTGAAAAATTATTGATTCAATGTAAATAGTTTTTGTCTTTTGTTTTGTTGAATTGTCAAACAAATCTTTTTTTTTAATTTTATGGTAATAATTCTGTCATGGGTATCATATTATTTTATAATATGAAATATTTATTGGGTTTTTGGGGTTTCTTTTTTTTGATAACTTCTGCAAATTAGCATGGAATAAATTAAATATTCCAACGGAAAGAGATGCAACTTCTAATCCTCTCTAATACGATAAATGATCTTAAAACACTAAGACCTCGTTATATTCAAATTAAATTTTTTAAAGATCTCAGAAAATCCATCTAATATAATTATACAGCGACTCCACTCTATACTAGCTCTGGATAAACGGCATACAGCTTACATTTCTTCAGTTCTATGACGCTATTAATGGCGGATCTAGGCCCGTTGTGAATAATATTTTAATAAAAGTCATTTAAAAAACCGTTTTATGTATAAGATCGGCCAAAAAAATACCGTCAGCGACTCTGCAGCAAATCTATGCCCCGTGTTAAAAATTTAGTCTCCCCATCATAATTAAAAGAATATAAGTGAATTGTGTAGTTAATTCGCTATGTTTGACATATATTATCACATAACAACATTCGAAATTAAGAAATTACTAAACTTGTTTGAAAAACATTCAATAATCCCATTTAAAATCGGTTTACGGAGAACCAGATTGCAGGTTATTTTTAGCTTTTCTGCTTAGACACCTAGCGAACGTTAGTTATTTTTGTATTTAAATCAATTTATATGATTTCTCCTTAATTTTAATTGAAAATAATTTTTTTAAATAATTAAAAAATAAATTACGCTGTTATTAAACATTTTAAATTAATTTTGTCTACTAATTTGTTCAAAAAATTCAGCTAACTTTTAAGAAATGAATGACCAAAAGTTTAAAACAACATTAGATCGCTGGGAGTTGTAGCGTGCTCCTGTAATCCAGCTATTGGAGGCATGGCATGTAGAAGGTTTTGAGGTCGGGGGTTCTGCGGCCCGGTGCTCTATGTCGATCGGGTGTCCGCACTAAGTCCGGCATCAATATGGCGGTCCGGAGGGAGCTCCGAGTCGCCAGGTTGCCTAAGGAGAGATGAACCGGCCCAGGGTGGAAACACAGCAGGCAAAAGTCTCCGTGTCGGCCAGTAGTGGGATAGCACCCGTGAATAGCCACCGTGTTGTAGCCCGACCGATATATGCCGACATGTGTCTTTTTGTTTCTGAGTCACAAAAAGTTTCATTTTTTTGATTTTAGTCTCTGTTACCGGCTTCGAATGCACGCGTATAACATAGCATGAATATGACATTAACGTTATAACGTGAATATTTACGACGGAATTGTCCCTTGTCGAGAATATAATGATGTTGAATCAATTTTTACGTCATGTTTCTTTACTTTTATAAATTACAACTTTTAATTACTTTTTTTAACTTAGTGTCACTTTTATTTAATTTAATGCTTCACTTTTAAAAATTAAACATTTATTTGTTTTGTTTAAAAAAGTTGCTTCTAACTTTTAATTTTAAAATGATTTGTCAAATTATTGTTATTAAAAAATGACTCGGTTTTTTTTCAATTCAAGATTTTTTAGTTGAAAATAAATAATGAAAACCCAACAAAACTGCTAAAAAACATGTCTGCTACTTCTTCCACTGGATTTCATTGGTCGGTAATGGCGGGTGTTTTCGCCGCCTGTGCCTCCATCTCCGCCAAGTTCGCCATGTCGACTTTCATTCACGACGTCTGCTTCGAGTTTATGAGTTCGTCTGTGACGGACGTCTCTCCAGAACATTCTACGCCCTCCAAGTTAAATTACGAACACATCTGTTATTATGTATGTGAGTGATGAGTTATGAAATTAATTTAATTTTTTTTTATATAAAATTTTAACTAAATGATTCATTTAACATTTAACTTAATAGTATGCAGTGAATAACTACAAAATTTAAGTATTATTAAGAATTTATCTTGTTTGTTTACTTTTACTGTACAATACGCTTACATGAGTTAAAGAATTTTCAGCCATGTCATTATTATATTTCAAATTTGTTCAGTAATTTAATTTCATAATTTACTTCAAAAGTTTCAATCAATTAATTAAATAAAATGTTTTTTTTATATTAGTTGACCAAACAAACTTCCCATTAATTAACGATTACCTCATTTCCACATAAGATGATGATTTGTTTCATATGAAATGATGAATTATTTGCTCTTGGTATTTTTTTTTAATTTGAATTCATTCATCCATCCATCCACTCATTCATTTTTTTTATAGCCTAGTATGCTTTTCCGAGTCTCGTGTTTTGCATTCGTATTCATCTGCAATGGCCTTATGTGGACATTTTTCACGAAAAGTCTGCAACTGACCAATTCACTTACTGCAACAATCATCAATTCATCTGTAAATCTCTTCCTTACTGTTAGTCACCATCCGTTATTTGTTATTCATTATCATATTATTATTATTATCCTTCTTTGTTATTAATGTATCTTGTTTTATCATAAAACATTTGCCTATGTATGTGACTTTACTAGTTTGAATGCTTATTTAAAAAATTTTCTTTGATCAATCAGTACTTTAATTGAAATAATAATAAATTGATTAATTAATTTGTATTCAATTATAATTAATTGGTAATATAAATTATACTATTTGCCTGCAGGCTCTCGTTGGCTGGTTGTTGTTTGAAGAGGTGCTGAACACAATGTGGGTACTTGGATCGGCCTTCATAGTTGTCGGCCTCGTAATCATTCAGAAACATTCATTTGAACAAACAGCTCTTTCACAGAAGAAACATCTTTAATAATATTTTTTACTAATTCAACTCTTGCTATATCTAATTTTAGTCTTTTCGTTATTTTTGTAATAACAATGATATTTATAAAAAAAAAATTTTAAGTGCTGTCTGCAAACTAATAAAATGTCAACTGATGAGTGATAACACTAGTGATGATAAACCTTAATGATTACTGATTTTTCTATCTATTTGAGCTAATTTAGCTAAATCGTGGTTGCGTATTGGTGTAATATTGTTGCTTAGATGGCATTTCGCATATATGAAATTCTCAGTTCTTTGATGGTTAAACCGACGAAAAAGCGATGTATTTTGTTGGTTAGACCTGCTTTGTCTCATTGCGGTCTGTATATGGTTGCTGATTGTCACGGTCTGTATATGGTTACTGACGGTTGCGGTCTCTTGTCTTGGTGTTTAATAATAAAATTAAAATCTCGGAAGAATGTTGAATAAAGTTTATCGGTTAAATGATTATTGCATGTTTAAAATAAAAAACCTTCTTTGTTTTTAATATAATTGTTTATTAAAGAAACGTTAATTGAAATATTAGAAGACACGTTAGTCGACAAAAAGCGAAAATAATATAAGATTTTCTGAAACTATGGAAAGTCATAAATATATTGAAACATATATAATATACATATATATTATTTCAATACCTTCCCTTCTTTCAAAACATTTTATGACATTAGTCCCATATGTCCACACAGGAGTTTCAGTCTGACTCTGCTTTGAATGGCTTCTTCGTATGTATCTGGTTCATGTACATCTAACAAATATGTCTCAGCCTGCATCACATAATCATCTAACTTCTTAGGTTTCTGCAAGCTTGACCTATCTGAGTTGAACTTTAACTGAATTATCTATAATCTTTTCAGTGTCATCTGTAATTTCTTCTTTTGAATCATCATTTCTACACTCGAGTCATTTTCTGATTTGCAATTGATTTGAGGATCTGTTGTAAAATTATTCTCAAATGGTTAATTCTCGGCTTTTTACCTGTCCAAATTTCAAATGGGCTTTTATCTTCAATCGACGACTTGCCTGTTCGATTAAGTAAATATACTGCAGTTGAACATAACTCAGCCCATATAGCGACTGGAAATTCAAAATCTGGATTTGAGTACTTCAATGTGCGTGCCATTTCTACTATTGTTCTGTTTTCACGTTCACAACCACCATTTTGTTGAGGTGTATATGGTGCTGTTAGTCTTTGCGTGATTCCATAGCTGCTCAGGATGTTTAGAACTTCTTCGTTGTCAAACACACCCCCATTGTCACTCAAAAATCCTTTTACTTTATGACCTTGAGTCGCTGCTTTAGACAAAATATTTTGTAGTGCCTGTTTCACTTCATTTTTGTGTCTAAGAAAAGAAATAAACCTCATTTTGCTGTAATGATCTTTGAAAACAACAAAATATCGTTTACTATTAAATGATTCGGTACTGAAAGGACCACAAACATCTGCTGATAGTAGTTCACCTGGTTTATTGGTTGCATTTCTCTTGCCAAATTTTAACCGATGTGCTTTACCATAGAGACATGGTTCACACAAATCCTTGTCAAGATGAACTTTAATGTTTGACTCCTTTTCTATAACAATCTTTATGTGACGTTTATCTTGATGACCAAAACGTTCATGGTAGAGCTGCACTATTGAATTTTCACCGACTATATTCACTTCAGCCAGTGTATCTGGAGTTAATGAAATCAAGTTTGCCTCATACAAGGAATCATCTACTCGTCTTGTCCCTTGTACTATCACTCGGTTCTTTATACTGAGTTGACATTTGGTTGCATAAGATTCAAACTTGCTGTTTTTTGAATTTTTATCTAATGCGGCTAATATGGAAAACAGGTTTTTACCTATATTTGGAACATACCAGACATCTGAGAGTTTTATATACTGTTGTTTGTTATTTACTGTTGACAGCATATTTATTTTGCCTCTACCCACAGCAGCAAGAACTTCTTTTCCTGCAGCTTGAACAGAACATGGTGCGACAAACTTCTCAAAAGTAACAAAATTATCTGGATTGTTCATTAGGTGCTTTGTTGCTCCATTGTCAATATACCACTTAGTGTTGTCTCTCAGTGTTTGATTACTGGCTGACGTGCACAAAACTACATTTGATGTTTCATCATATGCTTTTCTTGGTGTCGCTGAAACATTTTTGGAATTTTTAAAAGGTCTTCTATCACTGACCCACTTTCTACATTGCTTAACCCAGCGTCCAGGTTTATGGCAATAGTTGCAGTTACCAACTGGTTTTGTATTTTTAGTGAAATCTCTTGATTTGTTGAAACTTGGCTTTTCAACATTTACAACTAAGGCGTTCTGCCTTGATGATTTATTGATTGTGTCGAAAGTCTTTATCTCTCTTTCGAAAGCACAGAGATGAGTGATTAAATCATCTATCAACTGCTTTTCTTCACCTAGCATTAGCAAACTTGATTCGAAGTTTTGGAAACTATTTGGGAGAATCTGCATCGCTTTGCATACTAATAGCAGCTCTGGTAGTCTATTTTCTCCCGATGCCTGAAGCCCACTGTTTAATTCGTTCCATAAAGTCTTCAATCTTGCAATTTGGCCGGATACATTTACATCCGCTATCCAATTGAAATCGAAAAAATTGCTACAAACTTGGAACAGTTGGTCCTTAGTTGACGCTTCAAAATTTCTTTTTAATTCTTCCCAAACTTCAAACACTGTGTTCTTGTCCATTATCTTTTGGTATGTATCTTCTGTGACAGCATTCGCAATTACTGATTTGGCATAACTGTTTGCCTTTCTAAACAGATCTGATTTATTTTAAAAATCTTTTGTCTGTTGCTCTGTTTGATTTTCTAGTAATTCTGGTTTTGACAACTTCCCATCAATCACATCAAGTGTGCCCTCATGGTAGTCCATGAAATCTCGAACACGACGTTTCCAAATGGGCCAATCGGCTGCGCAACTTAACTGTTTTATTTGAAGCTTTGAGTCCATTTTGAAGGAAAAAAAAAATTGATGTTCTTGCTTCAACGATAGTTGGAAAAGTTCTTTTAGTCACGAATTGCAATCTCTTTCTTTTTTTTTCAAAATAACTTTTTCTCTAAACAATTTATTAAGGGTTCTGGGCTCACAACCTGTTTAAAATAAAAAACCTTCCTTGTTTGTTTTTAATATAATTGTTTATTAAAGAAACGTTAATTGAAATATCATAAGACACGTTAGTCGACAAAAAGCGAAAAGCATACACGTGCAAGTTAGTCAAGTTAGCAATAATATAAGATTGTCTGAAACTATGGAAAGTCATAAATGTATTGAAACATATATAATATACATATATATTATTTCAATAATGCACGATACGTTTAAACATTTGATGGACAAGACAAAAATATTTTTCCAAGTCAAGCCGGATTGTTGGAGAACAAGACATTCACATCAGCAGATAAATTAATAGTTGCTGCAGTCACTTTTACAATGAATAAATAGATGAACAAATATTGTTTAAATAACTGGAGTTATAAATCTGCGACGAACATTAGCAATATTTCTTTGTAAATTATCATCTGCTGTGATCGTCTAGTTGCTCGTGCCCCTTTCATTTCTCAAATATCTCCACATCTTGTTCTCTTGCTCTGACTGACTATAAAATATAGAATAATTTTTTAAATTTGCATATTAATGTATAAGTCTCAATCTAAATTATTTCTTAAGTACTTATCAGATATATTAATTGAACCTAAACCCGGTTTACGATCGTCCTCTTGTTCTCACTTCTTAACTCGTGTTAAACGCCCTTTTGCTAATTGGTTGATTGAATGATTGATTGAATGATTGATTGATTGAATGAATGAATGAATGATTGATTGATTGATTGATTGATTGATTGATTGATTGATTGATTGATTGATTGATTGATTGATTGATTGATTGATTGATTGATTGATTGATTGATTGATTGATTGATTGATTGATTGATTGATTGATTGATTGATTGATTGATTGATTGGTTGATTGATTGATTGATTGATTGATTGATTGATTGATTGATTGATTGATTGATTGATTGATTGATTGATTGATTGATTGATTGATTGATTGATTGATTGATTGATTGATTGATTGATTGATTGATTGATTGATTGATTGATTGATTGATTGATTGATTGATTGATTGATTGATTGATTGATTGATTGATTGATTGATTGATTGATTGATTGATTGATTGATTGATTGATTGATTGATTGATTGATTGATTGATTGATTGATCCATGTTTATCTGCGTCATTTATTATTGTGACGAATTTTAATATAAACATGATTCTTCACTTGTTTATATTTCAATTTTTTAATGGTCCTTCGGAATAACAGATAATATCGATAGTTTACTAATTAAATTTCTTCGCACAGTAGGAGTAGCCTATCTATGCAGTTGCTATAGACGAAATTCAAAATTTAATTCCGAAAAAATGGCAAAATTAGTCGTTTACTTGATTCTGCTTTTGGCTATAGTTGGCGAGCACAAAATATCAAGTACAGAAATCACAAAAAATGAAATTGTCAATAATGACGATGCATCAGTGAATAAAAATTTGCCAAATCAAAAGCAAAATAGAAGTGTTTCGTTTTTGACAAGCACATTAGAAAGAATCATTCCGTTCATTGGATTGTATCATAATGGAAAACATTCGTCAGTAGAGAAGAATGTTGAAAATTCTACCTTAGAAAGCGACAAAATAATAGAACACTCACAGGAAAATTTTAACTCTCGTAAAAATGTTTCAAGAGCTAAGAGAAGTTGTCTGCATTGTAAGGCCGGTGTTGACGCCAGAAAAAGAAAAATAGTTCAACATTACAACAATAAGGAGTCGCAGTTCGAAAAAAACTTCGAGAAAAAGTTAAAAATGTTGGAGCAAAAAAAGAAAGGAGCGGAGAAAATCAATCGAAAACAAAAGCTTCAAAAGCATCAACAAAATCAGCAGCAGCAACAAAAGGTTCAACAACAGCAAAAACAACAGAAACAACAAAAACAACAACAGCTAAAGCAACAACAACTGAAGCAACAACAAAAGCAAAAACAACAAAAGCAAAAACAACAAAAACAGTTTAAGCAACAACATGAGCAACAGCAGCAAAAGCAACAGCAGCAAAAGCAACAGCAGCAACAACAACAACAAAAAGAAAAACAGCAACAACAAAAAAAAGAAAAACAGCAACAACAAAAAGGAAAACAACAACAACAACAACAACAACAGAAGCAACAACATCGCCGCGATCTGCAAGAAGGTTTTAAAAAATGGAACGATGGATTAGAAAAGGAAAAAAGAAGTGTGGCCAACCAGATAACCGACTACTCGTCAAGTGAGTACATCAACGACGATGTCAACCACAAGAAGCAAAAGGTCAACAAATCGAAACACATGGAACAAAATGTTGCGCCGCCCGTCCAGCCACCGCCTAAGATGTACAAAGTGGAAACGGTTGACGAAACGAACGAAAATGACGGAGTGGAAGAAATCTACCATCACCAGCACGTCGAGTTCATTCCTTTGATGAAACGCATGAAAATGCTCTACTCACAACTCAACCAGAACCAAAACCTTTACGAGAAAATTCAGAATCGAATCCGACAGAATGAGAAACGCATCCAAGTTGCCAAGTATAAAAAATCTTATGAGAATTTGATAAAAACGAAGAAGGATCTTATGATGAAAGAGGATTTCTTGCAAAGACAGCGCGAAAGAATGGAAGAAGAACTACAGCACGAACAACGATTGCTTCGTCAGCATCACCTAGAACAACAATTTGAATGATCTTTTTACCAAGAATCAAATTCAGCGCGTCTTGCTAGTTTGCTGTTATCGAACTTCTGTATAACATTGAAAATATTCCCATTATTTCTTACGTTACATAGTTAATCTATGTGATTATGGTTGCTTTTAAATGTTGTCATTTATAATTTTTGAGCTCTTAAATTAGTTGTTACAAAAAGAATCGTCTTTTGTAATCAATCAGTCACTATATATAAATTTGTTTTACTTTGTTCTGGTACAATTAAAAGATTACCAATTTCTCATTCGATTAATAAATAAATAAAAATGAATAAATTGGAAAATTGCTGCATCTAAAAAATACTAAATAAAAGATTGTAATGGAAAAAACATGAAGTCTGATGACACAATACTTTATTTGATTGAATTCACGGTCTTTGAAATTTTAATGAATCATTTATACAAGTTGGCAGTGCTTTCGAGACTTTCTCTATTTTTATCGTGAATTTGTTTGTTGAACACTGAACAAATAATTTACATTTTACGGTAACAAAAACGGTAATGTAATTGTAACACAACTTTGCGTGGAAAACATTACCTTGCATAATCCCTAAATAATCTCAAACAACACTTCGGTGAGCTACTCCCGACCAGATTTCGACCCTCAGATTTAATTCTCTTAATTTGGGTTTTATGAATGATTTTTGGTAATCTTAACCTTTTTTTGCATTTGTTCCACATCTTGTAACAGACGATGTTTACGTAACAACATTTTACAGTTTGAAATTTTGAGCTTTAGGAAGTCAGAAATATTGTTGTCAGAGAAGTTCTTTTACGTTAGGTCGTACGTTATATAACAACTTCGTTTGATATTCATTAAACTCACTAGCACTGAGATTAAGAGAATGTAGAATGACTAATTTATTTAATATTTTAATTTAAAAAGATTAATATTTCCAAGGATTTTAATTCTTTTTGTGAAAATACGTTTTTATTCTTTCCAGTTATATTCATCATTATTTGTACTAAATTTATTTGATTTTCTCTCTTTTAATTTATAATTAAAACCGTAAAAAACAAACCTTGTAAAAAAGCAAATTCAACAAAAATATTGTGACCGTAATAATTTTGTTTTATTTTTGTACTTTCCGAAATAATTTAATGAAAAACTTGTCAATTTATCTAAACATAAATGTACGAATCGCTAAATTGGACACGTCCTGGTGTTTTAAAACACTTTTCATATATTTTCAACAGGTCTGCATCGCTTCATTGATAGTTTCAAATAATTGAATGAATGATCGTGTGGATTGCAGGGCTACATGGGAATATCAACTTCGCAGAGCATACAGAGAGAAGATGAGCACATGTAGTCATCCCATCCCGTCGTTCCAACCATGATACTCTGAATGCAGTAATCCAGTCCGTCCAGAGGTCCGTTCGGTTCGCCGCTGAACCAGGCATTTGAGCTTCCAACATACTTGGAAACGCCTACAAAATAAAAACTAATTTTACGTATTAACACGCCTAACAATGACAACGTTTCTAAACAATTTTGACAATTAACGTTCCCGGTGGTTGCGCTAGATGAGTTTCTCGACGAACTCTATCACAATCACCCTGCTTTCTTATAATTATGTTGTATTATATTGAGGAGGAAATTAAAAACATTGTGTTGTATTGTATTGAAACCTTGGTAAGCTCGTTCCAGTTTATCAAAATGCGAATTGTTAATAAAAAAAGATAGACAAAATTTTTTTTTAAATTTTTCGCATTCGAGCCAGGTTACTGTCACAAAAAACAGAACAAATTATTTGCTGCAAAATAATCAATACACCTGGATAGGGGGACCACATGAACGGTGTCCTGACTTCGCCGACGTAGGTTATTAACCCCCCCGTGAAGAATGTGTACCAGGCAGTCCATTCGGCGTGAGGACACACTGAATAATCTTTATACAACAAAACAGATGCTAATCACTGAATATTGACTAAATGTATCGCCCAAAAATGATCTCAATGTTGAGCAGTGGCGGATCTAGACAACTTTGACCGAAATGGAAAGAAAGAATAAAAAAAAATATATTAAATAAATTTTTTAGAAATTTGATTTATTCTTAACAAGTTTTAATCTAAGCTAATTAAAAGTCAAATACTTGGAGTAGTGTAGTTGACATAGGACAGGGAGATTGCATTTTCGACATCATCTTCAAGCAAGATGGGATGAGATGAAGAGATGTTGTTGCAGAGGTATCTGCCAGTGTACCAGTTGTTACGTCGGTACTGCATCTTGTAACACTTGTGGTACTCGATAACGTAGTCGAAGTTATCCGGACAGTCTGTACCGTTAAAATACTTTATATAATACACATAAGTTAAACTTTTTAAAATAGTTAGTACAATTTAGCTAAAATCAAAATATTTTTTCTTTATGTTTGTCCAATCAATTTTTAGCTAAAATTCTAATTTTTATTTTATTCTCTGTTAGACCGGGCAAGTGCAAAGCCGCTTACAAATCACTCGTGGCATACTTACTTGCAATTAAAGTTTATTTCAAATCACATAGACACGCCTAGTTGTTTATACTATCGAGATAATCAATTTCTAATAATTTTTTGCTTTTAAATGAATTAATTGTTTAAATCATTTTAATTAACAACATTTTTTAACTAAATTTTGTTTATTAATCTTAAACACACCGTGAATAACAAAACTTTGACATCCGGCAGGCTGCAGACTAGCAGAAACTTTGTACGTGGTGTTAGCTTTGGGAAAGCAGAAACACGTTCCACTTGACGTCATGTGGTAGTTCACCCCTCTCAACTCCTTCTCATTCATTGCCTATTATTAATTAGTAATTCTTTATTTACTAGCAAACTAAAAGTTACTTATCTACAACTTTTGCGCTTAAGTATTTCGACTTTGCTGCAGTTGATACATCTGAAGCAATGGCTGTAGAAGAAAATAAATTTTTTAATTCATGAAACCATACCGTGCATTTAACGATGCATTCCAACTTGCTCCTTGCTCGAATCTTCAAAGCGAAGGGCATCTGATCATCGAAACAGACTGGTGTCTTCTGCTTGCGAACAACCAAGTAACTGTAGGCTGGTCTGAATTTGGTCAAGGTCACCTGTTGTGATTGTAACTGACCGCTTGGACGAATGTTCATTACGTAAAGAATAAACGTTAGTTTTTGAAAATTTTCAAGCATTTTTAGCTTATTTATTTAGATTTTAATAATAATACCAAATTGAGTATTTTTTATATGATTTATAAAACTTGAGATAAATGTTTAACGACATTTGCAAATAAAGATTACATTTTACTGTTTTGTAACCAAAATAGAAATATTTTCCAATTTGTAGAAGGTATTTAATTTAACTGCACCACACAACAACCGCATTGAAAGCGTGTTTTATCGATCACATGGCAACAAGAACAACACGCACAATCTCACGTGTAGTAGTAACGATGGCCTCAAATTACACGTCTGGAATTGGAAACGAATATTTTCCAACTTTTAAAATGAGGCTTCGACCAAGCTGAAGAAAATTCTAATGATAATTATTATAATAATAATAATAACAACAACAATAATAATAATAACAAGAACAACAACAATAATAATAATAATAATAATAATATGCGTGATCGGTACATTTGCGTGCTTGCTTTGTTCCATATACATTATGTTAGGAATTACAGATAGAATTTGATGTTACGTCCTTGATGACCTCTCATTGTACTGAGTAAAAAATTATTTTTTCTCAATTTATTTTCAAAAAATGTAATATTGCTCATTCACATCGTTGATTTTTGTAAAATTTTTGAGAGAGTTTCATAAACGGAGCTGCAAGTTCGCCATTTACTTTTCAGTACTGCGTTTAAATTCGATTCATGAAATTGATTCAGAACGCAATCAATACGTAATACTGACTTTTAATACAAACACTGATCTTAACTCGGGGGGGGGGCAGTTATGTAATTTATATAGAAAACATGTACTCAAATGTTTTGATCACACACACGTTTTTTTTGGAATTAAATTTTAATCTAACACTGAAACGAATTATGAAAACAGCGGGTTTACATAAGAAATTATCTTCATGATTGTGCAATTTAATTCAATAATTTCAACGAACAAATATTAAAAGACACATTGTGATACGGCAAAATGAAAGAAGACGTAGTTTGATACTGAGTAGAAAACTTTATTTTAATTTTTTGATTTTCTGGTACCTTCCTACAACTGAGAGAGTATAAAATAAGATGCCCCGCCACAAACCACCTTATATATACATTGCATAGATTAAGTCTAAACTTCAGATGAATCTTCCCAAAATTTGATTGAAAAAAAAACCCAATCTCCAGTAGATCGTCAAAACTTTCAAACTTTAGTTGTAAATTGAATTTATTCTAAGTGTGGGTTACCGCATTTTTAACATTGAATGAATATGTAAAAACATGAAGCACTAGAAACAATTATTTCACGATTTATACAAAAACCTTCAAATGAAATATTAAGTTAGCTTATTTACAACCTTCAAAACCACTTTCAATTACAATATTTCATGCATATGAAACAGGAAAAATTTCAGAAAAGTATCAGATTCAAGCACGTTTTTTAGTCCTAAAAATTCTTCAGCCTTTCAAAAAGGTGTTTTAAATAGAGAATTTATTTAAAATTTACCATTGAGTTAGGTGAATAGGAATTGAGATGAAGCGTTTGGTCTGAACTTTGACCTGGAAGCAATTACGTCATTACAAAGTATTTTAACGCTGTAAACGATTACCCGACGGAGTCTTCCAGCATAAATTATAATGAATGCATTGGCTTATCTAGGAATGAGGGGGGGAGGGTGGGGGCAGGGATTACCACAAAATTTTTCAAAAAAAATTTAAACATTTTAAAAATGCAGAGGTATATTACATTGATAGCAAACAAATTGCCATTTTACCATGAAACAACGCGATATTGTGCATCATAAATGGGTTATAAGAAAAAAACAAATAGAAAAAAAGTTGTCACGTTTATGTAAAGTTTTTCAAAACTTTCAAGACGACTTTTTAATAAAATTCAGAAGACTGCGTCATGATGCAAAAACATTAAATGGTGAGATCAAATTCACAGAGCATGCACAAAAGATATAAGCACGGGTAGTCATCCCAGCCTATTCTGTACGCAATAATCCTTTCCGTCGAGTGGTCCGTTCGGTTCGCCAGGTAACCAGGCATTTGAGATTCCAACAGGCCTGAAAACGCCTACGAAATAAAAAATAAAAAGTCAATAGAATTGTTTAGTTGAGTCAACTTTAGTAATTGGAAAAGATTTAATCAACTATAAATTTTATTTAATATAGTTCTATTTCTTCGTTGCTCCACGGAATGTTTCAACTTCTCACAAATTCACATACTTTATATTAGCGTTTGATGAACGAAAATTTTTTGCATTCAAATCAGGTCATTAAGACTTCAAACCAGGCAAACTGGCACTCCAAAAACAGAGCCACCAAACTAAAAAAATAAATTTATACTTGGATAAGGGGACCACATGGGAGGCGTTAGATTACCGCTGCCATAAGTTCTTATCCCCCCTGTGAAAAATGTAAACCACGAGGCCCAATACAGATGGGGACAGAGCAAATAATCTTCGAATGTTTAAAATACTTCACGCTATTATCAATGCGATGTGTTAAAAAAGTTTTTAAACCATTAGAACAAAGCAAAATGTTACGTAATTATGTCCCAAATAAGGTTTAAAATTGGAAATTAGATACCAAATAATATTCAAAATGGAAATAACATGCCTAGCTTTATGAACGCCACCACAAAACATTACCACACCTAGAGTAGTGTAGTTGACATAGGACAGGGAGATTGCATTTTCGACATCATCTTCAAGCAAGATGGGATGAGATGAAGAGATGTTGTTGCAGAGGTATCTGCCAGTGTACCAGTTGTTACGTTGGTACTGCATCTTGTAACACTTGTGGTACTCGATAACGTAGTCGAAGTTACCCGGACAGTCTGAGTAGTTGGATTGTTAAAAAAATGAGGATGAAATAATTCCAACTAAAATAAAATTAAAAAAGTGGATTTCAAACTTTTGCCCCAAATAGTTACAAAATTAACTCAACCAGTTAATCAGTTTTAATGAGTTTTTAATTCATTTAAAGAAAGACATCTATTCAAAACAAAGTAAGGAAACCACAATTATGTCTAATCTTATTTTGTATCTTCCAGACGAAGCTGTCTAAAAATACAAAAAATATTTTTGATGGCACCAATTTGTCATCTTTCCATTCCATTTTTGATTCATAGAGATTAAATGGTTCAAATAAATGACATATGTTAATGAAAAGTTTTATGGAATCACATATACGTACTATGCAACCGGCAGATATCAAATCAGTGGTAACGTTGTAGGTGCTGCTTGCTTTCAGGTAACAGGAACATGTTCCATTTGACTTCAAGTAATTCGCCCCTCTCAACTGACTTTCCTTAAATGCCTGGAAGTTACAAAATTTATAAAACATGTTATATATAGATAGAATTTATTTAAAATGTTGGACTATATAAATCACTTAATTATTTTTTATTAAATGTTTAAATAGATAAGAAATATTAAAAATTTAATGAAAATTTTAAAAAAACGTACCAAACACTTGATGAGGCATTCCTTGACACTCCTGGCACTAGTTTTAAAGGCAGGGTTGGAACAGACCGGAAGTTTCTGGTTGCAAACTATCAAGTGACTATAGGCCAACTGGAATGTTGTTGACGTCAACTGCTCCAATTCAACTTTCCAACTGGTAAATAAATATCGAAAAAATAGTCACAATTTCTAAATAACGAATTAACTTAAAATATGATTTTAAATGGAACATTTTGGTTTTTATAAAAATTTATGATCGGAGATTATTAACAAATATTTTCAATAATTAAATAAGATGAAGAAAGCATTAACTATAAATAATTATGATCAGATAAACCATTTTGCTACTATATATAGATATTATATATATATATATATATATATATATATATATATATTTACATAATAATAAATATTCTCACTATATTCCTATATATAGATATGCATACACATATAAGATATATATATATATATATATATATATATATATATATATTTGAACGTATATGTAAATATGATACATTATATCTTGGAATCGGTGTTTGAGCAAAACGATTATTATATAATTGTGTTCATTGAGACGTAGCTCGAATGCAAAATATAATAATGATACATCTTACATTCAGGTAAGATGGTCCTTTCAGTTTGTCAAGTTTTATGTGACGCATTAGATTCACACGCACACACGCACACGCACACGCTCAAATATTCACATGTGCCTTTCAGAAACAAGCGCTCTTGGATTCTCACACACACGCAAAATACATGTGACGAAGAAGTTGTGATAGCCACTTTTACTGTGTTGACATCCTTGATGAAGTAAATCGTAAAAATTTCCTATATACTTTCAACTAGATGAGATAATTGTAAAATAATCACCTTCCCCCAGGCCTCAGCAAAGACTCTTTTCTTGAAGCTTTCAAACAGTTGTCAACCTATTTTTATTTTTTATCGTTACTCCGTTCAACACACGTAAGTTTATGGAAACCTTCAAGATTCACTTCTACACAGTAAAAGTGGCTATCCCGACTTTTTCCTCATATGTATTTTGCGTGTGTGTGAGAGTTTAAGAGCGCTTGTTTCTGAAAGGCATATGTGAATATTTGAGTGTGTGTGCGTTCGTGTGTGCGTTCGCTTGTGTGAATCAAATGCGTTATACAAAACTATAAGAAAAAAAGAATGGGTCACAAGCAACTAAACGAGCCGCAGATATAGTGTAGAATCAAGAAGACCATAGCGGAGCGAGTTACAATAATCAATCCTAGGTAAAACTAAAGAAGTAACAAGGAGGAGACGAGTAGGATCGTCAAGAAAAGTTCAAATTTTTTAGTCTAAAATAAACTGATATACAATATTTAATTTTTTTTAATTATAAAAGTACACAACTGGCTATGTGCATATATTACGTTTAAAAGGAACCATGGAGGATCCAGACCAGACCATGAAAGAGGAAAATATTGAAGATTCTGTTACAATATCGTAACAAAGTAGACGGAAAATGAGAAAATAATGTCATTTATATTATCCTTTAGTGTGATACTGATAAAATTTTGAATTGGAATTGCTCAATCGCAGCTATCTATCTATCTATCTATCTATCTATCTATCTATCTATCTATCTATCTATCTATCTATCTATCTATCTATCTATCTATCTATCTATCTATCTATCTATCTATCTATCTATCTATCTATCTATCTATCTATCTATCTATCTATCTATCTATCTATCTATCTATCTATCTATCTATCTATCTATCTATCTATCTATCTATCTATCTATCTATCTAATATAAGATATTAAACATTCATCAAATCAATATATATATAACCCTTGTCTTTATATATAAAGTTATAAACAATGTAAACTATAGGTTTTTAAACTCTTTTATATATACAAAATAATCAACAAGACAGAATGGTATGCTTTGCTCTGTTATAAGTAGAACTAGGACAAATGGAAGAAATTGGTCGGTTCGAGGAATAAAGCTATGGAATGCTATCGTAAGTGTTGAGGCTAGAACTATGTCAATAAATTTGTTCAAAAATTATGTTAAAGAAAGTTTACTTAGTGATGTTGTTAAAATTGGCTAAATTTTGAGAATTGTATGACTTACTGAATTTTATTTATTTTCGTTTTTTTCATTTCATCTGAACTTGAATAACAATTAATTTCTGCTCAAACTTTTATTAGTAGACAGTTTTTGTTTCTATTGATTATCATATTTTATTCTGTTAAATATAACATTTTGATTTATTGCTTAATTCGACAATTGCACCTCAGTTAAGGTAATCAGCACAAGTTTTCATTATAACTTCTTGATTGCCTTTGATGTCAATAAAATTTTGGAAAAAAAAAGTTGTATGTTGTGTGTATGAGTTTGAGTGTTTGTGTGTGTGTATGTGTGTTTGTGTGTGTGTGTGTGTGTGTGTGTGTGTGTGTATGTGTGTGTGTGTGTATGTGTGGTGTGAGTGTTTGTAAGTAGCACGGTACATGATGAAAAAGTTCGTTGGGATTTCATGACAACTTTCACATTCGTTTATTTAAACTACTTAAACATGACCGGCTGCTTGTGAAAGATTGTTGTTTTTCATCATTTCTCTTGTGCTGTTTCTAATTATTTTCTCTTTTTTTATTACAATTTGTTGAAAATTAGTCGCCATAATTAATTAAACAAATTAAGTGTAAACGTCTCTAGGCTCTGGCTATTATTAATTAAATATTAATATTAAATATCAATTAATAAATTGGACTGTTTATTTAAAATTAAAAATTTAATGAACCAATTCCAAATAAAATACCAAAGTTTTATTATTATTTAAAATTTTTAATTATAATCTTAAATAAAATAATCAAATTTAAATATTCATTAATAATTAAAAACTGATGAATATATTAATTTAGTCAGTGTGAAACTGAAACAAGACTCCAGCCTTTTCTGCCTAGCCTAAGTTACATAAAATGTAAATAATAGTCATCATAATTACTTATTTTTACCTACATTCAAGTTTAAAAGTTTTAACTTTTAAATTTAATTTGAGAAGTTGGCAAGATGTCATTTTTTAAATCAGTGGCTGGCCTTCTGAGTGACATAACACAGAAAGTCACTGGAGCTTCTCCACCATTTCAAGTCTCAGAAATTTCCCCATCTTATTACCAAAAGTAATGTTTAATATTGTTTATTTGTTCCTAATTTTGTGTATATTTATAGTATATATATATATATATATATATATATATATATATATATATATATATATATATATATATATATCTGATCAGATGTATATATAAAATATAATATCATATCCGAACAAATTTTTTAATTGTCAAAGTATATAAAAACAATTATATATAATTATAATATATATATATAATCTGCATTAACAAATGTTATAATATAACTTTTTATTTAACTGTAGAAGTTTAAATAATTTTATTTATAATTTATATTTATATAATATCACAAATTAATTTATAACCAGTTTTATTAAATTGACTTAATACGATATAAATATGGATTATATGGATATAATCATTATATGTTATGTTCATTTTTCCAAATTTGTCGGGGTTCTTGTAATTCTTCTGATATTTGATTTCATGCTCTGAGCCTTGTAACGCCTTTGTGTGTGCTTGGCATTTGAAGAAACTTTCCAAAAATAAAAGGAAATTTAACTTAATGAAAGTAAACTTGAATTTATTATTGAAATATTCAGTTTCAGTCTGATCACAGATGACGAAACATTCAAATTGTACCAGGAGAAGAAGGTCTACAAGGCAGTTTTGTGCCCTCTTAATTCCAAGAAACATTTCCTGTTAGTTCTTTTAACACAAGTTCAAAGGAAATTTATTTTAAAAATGAAATCTTACTTTTCTGTATTATTGTTTACATATTTTGGTTTATATTTCTGGTGTGAATATATTGTTTTAATAATAATTGTTTATGTGTTTTAGTTTGATAGTTTTTCTCTAAACAAGCCTGGTAGAGTGTCATCAATGAAAGAAGATAATTTTTTTTTATTTAATTTTTGTGAAAATTGCACTAAACTTCAGTTTATGTCAATTTTTGTATGCTATGAGGTTATGTCTAAGGAATATTAAATTTCTCTCTTTTATAATACTATGCACATAAAAAGATAGATGAATAGATAAATAGGTTGATGGATGGATGGATGGATGGATGGATGAATGAATAAATGGATGGATAGATGTGTGTGTTTGTATGTGTCTGTGTTTGTTTGTGTGTGTGTCTGTGTGTGTTTGTGTGTGTGTGATTATAGAGACAATTTTCTCTTCAATATTTTCCATTCGTGAAACAGCGAATCACAAAATTTACAGAAAATTCTATCTGAATGTTTTTATATTATGAAATATTATGAAACAAATAATTTCCAATGAATTAACACTAACCTTGTTAACTTTGTTTTAAATGATTTCCAATTACCTCATGACATTATTTTTATTTTCAATAGCTCTTATAATTAAATTGATCTATTGGGTGATTGCATGTTTAGGAAATTTAATTTGAATTGATTTATAAACACTCAGAAGTTCGTGATTAAAAATTTTTAGGTGCCCCTTCTTTTTTTTTAATTTATTCAAAATATTTTAATTTCATGCGATTTTTCTTTCTCGAGTTTATAATTTCAAGTCGTCACTGTCATCATCGTCGTCGTCTTCCTCATCATCATCATCATCATCGTCGTAATTACATTCATCATTTCTTTAGTTATATTGCATAGTCACTCGTTACCATCATCATCATCATCATCATCATCATCATCATCGTCGTCACAGCTATCGTTATCATCATCATCATCATCATCATCATCATTGTTTTTTTTGTAATCATTATCGTAGTGACGTCAACATTGTTGCCATTATCATCATCATCTTTGTCATCCTCATTATTGTTTTCATCATCTTCGTCGTCGTCGTCATCATCTTCAACTTTGACTCCAAGCAAAGTGTTAAAAGTTTGAGAAAAATAAATTATTTTATATCACAAAAATGATTTATCAAGATCGTGTTTCTAAGAGATTCCATCTGCTCCATACCCGATACTGATACTCAATCGGAAGACGTAAACACACACACACACACAACACGCGCCTATGCAAATTATCGAAAAATAAAATAAATATTCATAACCCTGCCAAGCAGGATATTCGTTCTTCCCACTTATGAAGAGGCCAGAGAGGCATTCAATCTGCTATCCTACAGACTGCAAGTACTGATGCAATGTATGAATTTGGTGAACGTCCAGCAGATACAGAAGATATCTGACATAACGAGGGAACACCCTGGTAGGTCGATGTGATTTTACCATTATTATTATTATTATTATTATTAATTATTATCATCATCACGAAAGAGACCACCAATATGGAATTTTTTGTGACAGAAACATTGCCTAATGCTATTTTAAATATAACTTACACCCATGCACTTGTCATTGGCAATGAGGATGGGTGGATCGTACATTTGATTATTTTTATTCTATTGATTATTTTTTTATTCTATTCATTTTAACATTTTAGTTACAATTTATTATCTTAATATCTTATAGTTTCATTGTGTAGATTGGATAAATAAAATTTGTTCACATTATTATTATTATTATTATTATTATTATTATTATTATTATTATTATTATTATTATTATTATTATTATTATTATACTATGAATACTATATTTATTTCATTTGATATTTTATTTTATTTTATTTCATTATTTTATTTTATTTGTACTGTCATTTTCATTGTTTTTATTGCTAAATGAAAGATTGTCCTCATTGTTAAGGCCTACAAATTTAAGTTTAGAAGTTGAGGGGATTTAGCTGAGGAAAGTTAAATAAATGCCAGTCATTTATAGTCATAGTACATGCATTTAAGTTGTTAAGCTGAAATAAATGATTAGAGGTGATCTTAATATCATTCTTTTTTGAAGATAGATATATCTTTCTGTGAGTATCCGTGTTCGTTCTGTTTGTAGTGATAGGTGTATCTATCTATCTATCTATCTCTCTCTGTGTGTGTGTGTGTGTGTGTGTGTGTGTGTGTGTGTTCATTCTACTTGAAGATAGATTTAACTCTGTGTATCTGTAGTTCATTCAATGATGATGCATGTGTGTGTGCGTGTGTATGATCATTCTGTGATAGATAAATAGGTGCATCTGCATTAGGTTGATCATTAAATTTTGATTAATTATAATTGTTATTACTACTATGCAATATTTTTTTTTTTGCCCCCAAAAGAACATCTGGTTGGATTTGCAGCTCAGCATGAAGTGGCCACATTAATAATAATAATAATAATAATAATAATAATAATAATAATAATAATAATTATAGTAATAATAATAGTGATGATAATAATAATAATAATGGTAATAATAATAAATGTTGTTGTAAAATCAATAATCTGAAGTTACGTTGTTACAAACAATAATTACATACAATAATTTTTGAATACAATAGTTACATACAATAATTTTTACATACAATAATTTTTTTACATACAATAGTTATATACAATAGTTACATACAATAATTTTTACGTAAAATAGATACGTAAAATCCATACAATAGATGTATGGATGGATAGATTCGATAGATTCTTTTATCTACTTATGCAGTGTTTAGCCATTTCTTTCATTTCGTTTTTTAAATGATACACTCATTCATCCATCCATTGATTTATTAATTAATTTATTAATTAAATAATTAATTAATTCATTCATTCATTCATAATTTTTTTGTTCATTCATTAATTCATCCATTCAATTTTTCTTGTTCATTCATTCATTCATTCATTCATTCATTCATTCATTCATTCATTCATTCATTCATTCATTCAATCAATCATTCATTCATTTTTTCTTGTTCATTTTGATATTTTTTTACACTCATT